GTTTTGGTTCTGTTCAAGTTCTGTCTCTGACTTTTCATTGGTCTTATTTCCCTTCTCGTGTTCTAGTTATTTTTGATTGTATTTTAGTTCTTAGATATTTCTTTTTTGCCCTCTTGTTTCAGTCTCTTTTTCTCTAGCTCCCTTCTCTCCTCCTCTGTTCACACCTGCTCCCAATCTGCTATTTATCCTGGTCTTTGTTTCTCTCTCCCATATATTCTCCTCCTGTTCAGTCACTCTTTGCTGGTTTGTCGTCATTTATTTGCCCCCTTCTTGTGAGTATTCCTGTTTCTCAGATTTATTTTTTAGATTTTTGCTTCTGTTGAACTTTTGTTTAATTAAACTTCCAAGAAGCCACTTCAGCTTCCGTCTGCATTTGGGCCCTCCTGTCAAACTTCCACCCCACCTTGACAGCTGCTCCCCGTGTTCTCACTAGAACTAATAAGTCATCATTTCTACATTCAAAGTCAGAATTATGAGATATTTGACTTTGTAACTCATAATTATGACTTCCTACTTGGCATTGTTTTACTTTCATGTGGCGGGAACGGGCTTCCATAGGTCTCAACCTTGTGTGCCAGATAGGATGCACCATGTTTTTGATACAGTGGCTTATTTGGGATTTGCCTGTGATAAAGTTGTACGGCATGCTGAACATGAGGTTTCCACAATCTGACAGGAGAATAAAACTCATATGGCCTTTAATTTTATAATTACTCGTGCCTTTCAACTGCTTAAAATCATGTGCCGCTGCTTTCGTTTAAATCACGTTACTTCCAGCCAATATGAAAGGCAGAATCAGACAAAATGCTGCTGCAGATTATTACCTAAGCTGAATGGAATCTTATTTTTTGATGGAAAAACTCCAGACCAAGCAACTAAAAAGGAAGAGTTAGATAACTGTCAATAAAAAGTGTTGCCTATGTGTCTCAAATTTGTAAATCTAGGTCAATACAGTTGATTATGTTTAAGATTTGTATTTGTTTCCTGTCAGCATGTTCATACATGTCATAGATGTTTTATCTGTGAGAATACAAGCTTAAAAATGAAGAATTCCTTTTGCAAAGTTACAGATTTGCAAAAAAAAGGTAAAGCAAGGCAAGTTTATTAGTATAATATTAGTCCAGATATTTTATTAGAAATAAAACAAATGTTATATCAAATTCAGATGATGGGGTTAACGGTAGTTTTTCTTTGGGTTCCTGTTTATATAGGAGAGAAAGGAAATTAAATGGGTGACAAGAAGTACAGTCGACAAACCGGAATGAGACTGAAATAATAATTAACATGAGTAAACCAGAGCTTAAAAGTGTTATTAAAAGAAAGACTTTGAATCTCATAATTATGACTCTTTATCTTATAATTATGACTTTTTATCTTATAATTATTACTTTCTATCTCATAATTATGACTTTTTATCTCATAATTTTGACTTTCTATCTTATAATTATGACTTTTTATCTCATTATTGTCACTTTTTATGTATTATGACTTTTTATCTTATAATTACGACTTTTTATCTCATAATTATTACTTTTTATCTTAAATTATGACTCTATTATATAATTATGACTTTGAATCTCATAATTATGACATTTTATCTTATAATTATTACTTTCTATCTCATAATTATGACTTTTTATCTCATAATTATGACTTTCTATCTTATAATTATGACTTATTATCTCATTATTGTCACTTTTTATGTATTATTACTTTTTATCTTATAATTAACACTTTTTATCTCAAAATTATTACTTTTTATCTTAAATTATGACTCTATTATATAATTATGACTTTGAAACTCATAATTATGACATTTTATCTCATAATTATTACTCTTTATCTCATTATTATTACTTTTTATCTCATTATTATTACTTTTTATCTTAAATTATGACTCTAATAAATAATTATGACTTTGAATCTCATAATTATGACTCTTTATCTCATAATTATGACTCTTTATCTTATAATTGACTTTGTAACTCATAATTATGACTTTGAAAGTGGATTTCTTTTTTTCTGCAGCGTGTTATTGTCATAAACCCATCCCCTGGGGAAGCAGTGGGCTGCCATTGTGCGGCGCGCGGGGAGCAGTGTGGGGTTCAGGGTCTTTCTGAAAGATTCTTAGCAAACTAATATGATAGCCTCGTTGATCTCTGCTCTTCATAATAAAGGCCGCTATCACGTGAATGAGTAGTGACAGGGCGGGGCTTAGGCAGCCTTCAGCCAATCGCTTCTTTTGTTTTGCGGCTTCTCATTGGTTGACAAACATGGCGCCCCGCCCTCCCACTGAGCACACAGTGAGGCAAAACACGTCAACGTGAGGAGGTCAGACAGAGCCAGTCCTCCCCCCTGAACAGTTCCAGCCCTGGAAATAATTTATTACAATACAGAAAAATAAACTAGTTTCCCGTTTTCAGAAGGACGAGACGCTAAAGCTCGTGCTGCGACATCAACCTTTAGCTTCGGAGAGCGGTTAGCTTCCCGAGCTAACACCAGCTAGCCGGAGTAGCTGTTACCTGCTGTGGATTGTACGCAGCTGACCTCGAACAGAGAGCCGCTTGTTCTGTCGTTAGGGGCGGCTCTGCCCCTCCACCCCCGGCCTGACACCCTCAGCTCCCTCCGTTGCTAAGCGGCGCCCTGCGGACGGTCCCCGAATATGATCTACAATGAGTCAGAGAGATACTTTAGTTCACCTGTTTGCTGGAGGGTGAGTATCATCTAGCCATGTACGCTAGCTAGGCTAAGCTAGTTAGCTCTGTGCTAGCAGCTAAAGGCTAGTTAAAAGCTTCCCACTATAGCAGCGTTGTTTGTTTTAGTGGAATAATTTCAGATGTGTAATTTCATGTGGTTAGCTTAAACACCAGCCTGTTAGCTCCGAGCTAACACGGCTGTTTTATTTATTATCCAGCGGCACGCGCTGCCACTTCAATGACGGTTATATATGAATGAGATGGTTAGCATGTAGGCACGCCTTCTGTTTTATCAACCAACTCCTGGGTTTTATAAACATGTCAGTGAGAGGATAAAACATTAAAATATCTGCACGTTTCCTTTGGTTAATATTAACCATGAACAGTTTTATAATAAACAGCATTTAAGAGAAACTCGCCATGAGTTTAAGTATAAATAATAAAACATCTGAATGTTTCTTACCTAGTTAGATTCGTGGCTAATCAGATTTAGCTTCTTTAAAAATGATTTTAAACGCTGCTTTGATCTTCTGTGAGTTAGTTTTGTATGCAGTTTTTATTTTAGAACTAATGTCATCTCAAGGTTGCGAATAAAAAGCTTAATTGATTAGAGCTGCAACTAAAGATTATTTTGCAAATTAGTTTATTAATCTGTTTATTTTTTAATTATTAATAATCAGATAGCCAAAGGTTCCTTATAGAGGATTTTTTTAGGGAATGGAACTAAAACTTTTCCACTTGAGGAGTTCTGGATAAAGCAGATTTTTTTTTTTATCTTAAATCAAAAATTTTAATGTATATTTTTATATTTTTAATATAATTACCGCTGTAAGTGGATTTCTCTGTCAGCTAAATGCATGTTTTAAAGTCCCTAATGCTCCAGTTAATGATTAATCGGTTACTAAATTGGTTGATGATTAGTTCAATAATCGATTAATCTTATTTTTTTCAGCCCTAAAATAAGTATATGCAGTTATTTAAGAAGCTGTCATTAAACATTTCCTATGATATAAGCTAAATTGTACATATTTTCTACTGATTATGGTAAAAAATGATCAATCTCAGGAGACCAGGTTGCATTTAGTGCCTAGTCTTTGCAGAAGTTGCTCCCAAACAATAAAAACTCCCTTAAAACCTTTATCAAAACCCGGCCCGGTGTGAGAAATAAAATGAAAGAAATAAAAAGAGGAGTGGAAGGGATAAAGTGCTGAGCACTGTTTTATGTTTGTTTTTATTACTGTGGTCACTAGATGTGGAAAAGTGATAGGCCATATTTAAAATTATGTTTTGTTTTTTTTTTCCTTTTAAAAGCTGCATTTAATAAACAAATAATCCTTTGAGAGGTGAGACCTGCGCCCATTTGGTACGTGTCAAATAACTCAAACATTAGCTCATCTCCACATGCGCTGACTAGTGAGGCTTCTCGAGTTTTTGCACAGTAGCCGCATTCGGTTCGAGTATCAAACCGGATCCGTGTTGGTCTGCTTGTTGTGGGTTGAAAATTAACCATAATGAGAGAACGCTGCATGTGACGTTCCTTCCTCTGATCTGGCCCGGCTCCGCCCAGCCCGGTGCAGTCCTGCCTGGATCAGCTCCACCGTGGAGCGCATGTACAGGTGGTTTCTGTGCTCCCTTCCTTTATCAGCCTGCCTGAGATTAGAGCGATCATAATACAGCCAAGTTGCTTCTTGAAATGTTTTCTTACCAGCAGGATATTCACTTTGAAAAAGGTGAATATGCACGAGTATAAAGCCGTACTCGTGCATCTGTAGGAAATTAATTAAAAAAAGTTTTGTAAATGAAAAAAAAAGATGCAATCCAGAATTTTAACTTTGAAAAATGTTTTAATAAAAAAGTTTTGGGATTTTCTTTGCTATTTTTTCCACATTTTATTAAAAAAAACATTATTTCGTTTTTTCTTATCTCTTTTATTTCTGAGTTTTACAAATTGCATTCTTCTTACTTTTCAAAAAAGATCAAAAATTTGAAAAACAAAATCAAAACTTGTTAAAGTGATTTTTTTAAAAATGAAAACGATAAAATGAGAACTTGTTTTGAATAGAACTTGAAAATATGTCTAAAATTTTTTTTATTAATATGAGAAACAATTTTTAAAAAAAAAAGGTTAAAAAAATAATAAATTTAAGAAACCAGCAGTTATTCTCAAAACCTGTTTTTGATGACGTATTTTTTAATGTTTTCATTTACAGCTAGTATTTATTTTAGGGCTGCAACTAACGACTATTTTGCAAATCAATTTATTTGCCAATTTTTGGATTAATCCATTAATAATCGGACAGCCAATATTTTTCTTTAAAGATTTATTTACAAAATTAAACCAGGTCAAACTAAATCTTGACTTTTGACAACACTTTATTTAGAACAAATCAAAACATTTAATTGATGTAAAGCAGGAGCTTGTTAAACTGTAGTTGTCCTTCGTCTGACAGTAAATAAAATGTTAAAACCCCACAGCAGAATAAAATCCTCCATGTTCTGTGTGTCTCTGTGGAAGTGAAACTCCAGCCTTATTCTGGCTTTAACCTCCTCAGAGCCGCGGCATCAAGGTGAGCTCCCTCCTGCAGTTCGTCTCTGCGGGACAATAAACGGCCATCTTTGCTTCACTGATGAATACATTTAAAAGTCGGGCCTTTTGCTTATTTATTCTATTCCGGCAAACTCTTCCTATAAAAAGAGAGTTTGTTTAAAAAAGTCCCAAAAAGATGAATTGATACTATATGTCATCAAAAATGAAAGGAATAGTTGATATTCCACCCTTAACAAAAATAGAAGAGATCTGTGTTGGAGACTTAAAAGGGAAAGGTTTTCTATAATCAGTTGATGCTTTCCTCTAAGGATTCAGCAATTGACAAGTTGGACGCTTGGAGAAGAGGGATTCTCGAAGATATAGATGAGGAGGACTGGAACCAGGCCTGTTTAAAAGCGCAAAAACAAACGATAAACACACGATTTAAACTTCTGCAATATAAGTGGCTTATGAGAACCTATATAGCACCAGTTAGGCTTCATCATATGTCCAGTGATATTCCAGACACGTGTACTAAATGCTTATTTTTTTTATTTAACCTTTATTTTATCAGGAAGTCCCTTGAGATAAAATCTCTTTTTTGAGGGAGACCTGGCCAAGAGGCAGCAGTACAATAAGACATATAAAAACACATAAAAACAACATAATAAAATCAATCATAAACTAGACTTTAGAATAACAGTTACAATTCTCTGTGCAAGCGGTTTTCAATAGTGATTTAAAATGCTGTAGCGGAATAAGAGTCTGTAATTGCAGGGGGTTTTGAATATTGTGCCATGACCATGGTGCTGCATAGGAAAATGATGTTTTGCCAAGATCTGTGTTGATCCTGGGAATAGTGAAAAGAACACGACTTGAAGAGCGTGAGTTGTAACCACTGTTGGCTACAGATATGAGGTGACACAGGTATGGAGGGAGTTTACACAGGATGGTCTTGTAAATAAAAAAGGAACTCTTCTCCATTGTTTATGGGAATGTCTTAAAATCCATAAGTTTTGGAGGGAGGTTATTAGGTGTCTATCTGAAGTGTTTAAGGTTCAAGTCCCATTAGAGGTTAAAATCTGTGTTCTAGGAATATACCCAGTGGAATTTGAACAATCACAGACTAAAACCAAATTGATAGATTATGGACTTCTTCAAGCCAGAAGATCTATTGCATTATGCTGGAGGAGCATGGACCCCCCCTGGGACTCTGGAAAAAAGAAATTGCAAATTCACTCGGACTGGAAAGATTAACATATATCGCCAAGGGTAAACGGCAAGACTTTGAGAACCTCTGGGAGCCATATATGAGGGTCATAGAGACTAAAGGCAGAGCTTATTAAAAGGATGTCTTGAATACAGTTTTTATTTCCATATTGTCTCGTTATTTTTCTGTTATAATCTAAACAGTTTTGTATATTTTAGAACAAATGCAGGTTTGAATGGTGAGTGCGTGAGTGAATGCCAGTGTGCAAAAGTTGATGTCTGCAATGTTAAGTTTGTAAGTTTATTGTACATTAAAAGAGAAAAATTCAATAAAATATATTGGAAAAAAAAGATGAATTGATAAATTATCTTTAGTCTTGTGCGTTCCATAAAAACGTGGAACACATTTTCAGACAGGCCGCAGAAAGGACACTGGTTTAAAACACCCCCATTAATAACGGATAAAAACAAGTTTGTGGCGATGGCGCCCTGTAAAATCCTCCATTGGAGATCAGCACATCGTTTTTTGATTAGAGGCTTCTATAAAGTCCTCCACCGGGGGCTTTTCTCCTAACTTTCTCTGTCCAGATGCTGACTGGCCGCTCTGAAGATGTCTTTGGTTTATTTCTTTTGTGCAGCTGTGATAAAGGGCTAAACTCCAGGAGGGTCTGGATAAAGCAGATTGACAGAGGAAAACAATTTTTTTATATCTTAAATCCAAAATGTTAATATATATTTTTACTATTTAGGTATAATTCCTGCTCTAAGGGGTTTGATCTGTCCGCTAAAGGCATATTTTAGAGTCTCTATACTCCAATAACGACTAAATTAGTTGAAGATTTCAATAATCGATTAACCTGTTTCATTTTTTCAGCTCTAATTTATTTTTTATATTTAGAATTTTTGCGACAATAATGGAAGAAAATTCCCTCCATACATGTGTAGGAAAGCTTTATAAAATGCTGCCTTTAAAACAGTATGAATAATAATTTTATTATCTTCTATCCTGCTGACCTATCGTTGGTTTTATTTATTTTTTAAGTTTGGAAGTAAATTCACTAATAAAAGACTAAATCATGCTCTTCCTGCTTTAAGCTAAATATCTAATTGTTTTAATCAGATGTTAATGTTTATTTAATGTCTTCGTTATCCTGCCTTCAGCCTGTGACCTCTGTGTTTCTCTCAGATGTGGGGGCACGGTTGGAGCCATAGTGACGTGTCCGCTGGAAGTGGTGAAGACTCGTCTCCAGTCGTCCTCCATCACCCTCTATGTGTCTGAGGTTCAGCTAAATACCGTCAATGGGACCAGCGTGGCCCGCATGTCTCCACCAGGACCCCTGCACTGCCTCAAGTTGGTGCCCCGAGCTTTGCTTTCCTTTCTTGTTCAGAAAAGCAGAACATACTTCTTTACCTCCGAACAGTTTGTATCAAGTCACGACTGCAATCATTTATACTTTTATTGGGATTTAATGGGATAGACCAACACAAACTAGAGCAAATAAACCATCGTTTTAGGATGATGGGATGCAGAGTTGCGTTTAGACCCATATTTTCTACATTTTGTAGAGAATATGCTGGTGAAGGTCATCACCAGGTCATAGTCATCTCAGAAAATGTTAAAAACAATCCACTGGACTTTGTTTCCTAATTTGAAGACGTTTCTCTTCCATCCAGGAAGCTTTTTCAATTCAAAATGTCAGAAATAGTGTTGAGTTCCAGGTTTTATCCAGCAGCCCAACAAAGCCTGGTTTTTGTTTAGAAAACATGCAGATAGAAACGGATGAACGGGTCCATCCCTTGGAATGGGGATCGTTTGGCTTCTTTGTTCGCCTTCTTCCTGCTGCTTGTGGTCTGAGTGTAGCATAAGGTAGTAAAATAAAATAGGGCTGGGATCTGTTTTTGCTTTCTGAGGACCCTACTGAAAAATTAAGCAAGCTTTTATCCACCAAAAAGTAAGTTTTTATTATATGTTTTAGTTCAGCTGTGAAAGGCGTTAAAACCAAGCAGAGGAATAGACTGGATCTAGAGAACAGCCTGGGATCTGCTGTTTTCCATGCTGAGCTATCGGAGCTCATCAAAGTAAAACAATTACAGATCATTGAGGCTGCTTCAAATTCTTACACTTTCAACTTAAAAGCATTTAACGATAAAAACTTCACGCACTAGGAGCTGCGTAGCTAAAGGCTTTCTTCAAGCAAAAGGAACAGTGAGGAAAAGCTGATGGTTGGATCTCAGGGCTTTACTGTGGAAATAAGGTACAAATGTAAGAGGGCAGTAATGCAAGAAGGGCCTTGGAAATAAAAGTGCACCATTTATTGTTTCTCAGTGACCTTGACAGTGAATCCAGAATAAGGGATTTTTTAAATAATTTGTTTCATGTCAAGTCAGAGGTCCTCTGCTGTTAAGTTTATTTTAATTTGGTTTGGTTTCACAGAGATGTTGCAAAAAATATGAATGGCACCAAAGCCAGAAAACCTGAAAAGTTCAGTTCAGGTAAAGTTTTCGACAAGATGTTTCTCCTCTCATCCAAGAGGCTTCTTCAGTTCTAACTGATGGTGGGAAGCACCAAAGTTTTCTAGAGCAAAACTCTAGAAAACTTTATGCCAAAATCCCTTATTCTACGTTCAAACCTAAAGCAGCAGGAGCAGCAAAAAATGCACGTGCTGCTTCTTTTCTGATGCTTGTTCAAGTTTAGTTCTGACGCGCAGCTGAAGCATCTTAGCTTCTCTGGCTGCACGGCCGAAAAGTGGGTCTGATGTGGAGCTACCCTATCCTTTCTCTGCCTGGAATCATTAGCTTTGATCAGTGGAAAAGTAGTTTGAATCTATGTTGAAGTGAGAAAGTCCACCTGAAAAACCTTTGCAGTAGGGCTGGGCGATAATTCAATAACGATATATATCGATCGATAGACGTGTGGCGCAATAGAAAAAAAGAG